TAGCAAGGGAACATTGTTGGATCAAAGACTCATCCTGTAGGGTATCAGGATGATATAACTCCTGGCTTCTAAAGGTGATCCATACCTAATCCCTAATGTTTATAATTATGGTGTGGTTGCATTAGTTTTGCCTTCTGTTTTGAGATCTATCCCATAGCAAGAGGCGTTTGTCTCCTCCAAGGTCATAAGACATTTGGCCCCCTGTGCCAGCTTCTTGGAGGGTCTAGCCCTGTCTGAATGCCTATAATATTTCTAACTAGCTCACCTGCCTGTAACAGTTTGATTTCTTGATGATGGTCATCCTTACTGAGATATGATGAACTCTCACTGTTGTTTTAATTTACATTTTTCTAAAGCCAGCAATGCTGAACATTTTTTCATGTATTGACCATTTGTATTTCTTTTGAGAAGTATTCACTTAAGTTGCCCAGTTTTTTACTGGACCTTTTATTTGGGGGGTGGTAACATTAAATTGGGTTTTTAATATTTCTAGATATTAGTCCTCTCTCTGAGGAGTAGCTGGCAATTTTTTTCTCATTCTGTAGGTTTTCTCTTTATTCTATTAGTTGTTTCCTTCTTGTGCAAAAGTTACTGTCTATTGATTTTTGACATTGTTTCTTGTTGCAAAGTGTTTTTAAAAGAGAAGTTACTGAAACTGAATGACATGGATTTCCTAGTGAGTAACTAACATTTCAAAGTCAGACGAGATAATATGACATTAGATACACTTGCTAGAAAAGAATAATAACTAACCTTATTTTCCTTCTTCTTCTTCTTTTTTTTTTGTTTCACTATGTAGCTCAATCTGGTCTCAATTTGCAGCAATCTTTCTTCCTCAGCCAACCCAGTGTTGGGGTTACAGTGTGTGCCACCATGCCCCACTGACTCCACCTATTTTGAAAATGGCTATTCCCTGAACAGTTTTTTTAATGCAAGTGAATCTGGCTCACTTGACAAAAAACTTTCAAATTTAGAATATCCTATTTCTAAAGTTCATATATTGATATATATGTGGTATGGTATCTTCATTTTCTTACCTGTGTTTTGTAAACTTTCTGCCAAATATATACTTTTTAAAAAGTTTGCATTTTGAAAAACAGCACAAAAATATAACAGAGAATCTTGTCTGTCCTTCATCCTTAATGAGAGGGAAAACTTTTCCCTTACCCTCTGAGTAGTGTTTGATAGTTGACTTTATGCAATAAATGGACAGTAGACTGGAGAGAAGATATACACTTTTATTATGTGCATGGGACATCACATTAAAGCAAAGTGACTATCCCCAAATCCGGTGAGATCTACAAATTTCCATTCCCTCTTACTTGAGGGAAGGTAGGGGTAATGTAGAACACTTAAGGGGAGAATAATTTTTGAGAAAGATGAATGGGCCCTCAGATGAATAGGTAAATGACTGTGACTAAATCTGTTTATTGTATTGACCTCCAGTCTTTTCTGTGATAAGAGTTTGGTTTTCACTGGCTGGTAAAACATCCCTGGAGGGCATTCATATCAAAAAAGTTTCTTGGGAGAAGGTCTACCTTTTCAGATAAGATCAGAGAAAGCCCTCTCCTGCATTTGTGGTTCTCCAAGTATGCCCAATTTGAACTGAGCACAGTGAAGCAGGAAATGTGGTGGGATTGATGCCTGTAATCCCAGCACTTGGGTGGCCAAGGCAGGGGGATTGTTGTGAGTTCCTGGCCAACCTCCACTACAGAGTGAGTTCAAGGCCAGTGTGAACTACACAGTGAGGCCCTGTCTCAAAAAAAGTATGATGTATGTTAAAAAATATTATAGTAAAAGACATATTTCCATTAATCACACTCAAAATACTCCTGTTCACTTTGAACAAAATTGTTTCATCATCTTGCTGCATTCTAAAGCAGTCCTGGAAGTCCTTTTCACCAGTGTCTTTTGTTGTACAATGTTAGGGCTGCTGTGATGTCACAAATCAATTCAAAAAGTTTAACTTCCATGGTTATTTTGATTTTGGGGAACAGCCAGAAGTTGCATAGTGCTAGATCCCGTGAGGACACACAGTAATGTTTTCATGAACCTGTCTTTCCATTGGAAGGCTCCTGGCAGTAATGTTCACTGTGTTTTTGGCCCCATCTTAAAAACACTTATGAAAGAACTTTTCAGAACTGCTACAGAAAGTACCAAGATGATGGAATAATGATGTTCAAAGCAAGAGGGAAGATTTTAGGGGAATTAATGGCAATGCATCTTTTACCATATTTTTAAAAACTTTAAATATTAACTATATTTTTCTTTCTTTTTTCTGGTACCGGGGATCGAACTCATGTCCACCTGCTTGCAAGGCAGGTGCTTATGCCGCTGAGCTAAATCCCCAGCCCCTTAACTATATTTTTGATCATCCCTTGTATTTGGGGGTAGCTGATAGAGTATTCTGGTGCAATGGAGAAGTAAAAGTACAAAAAGAACAGGTTTGTTGAGTTGAGGACATGGAAATATGCACACAACCCATGGCAGATGGGCTGTCTCCTTTGACCAGAATATGGGGTATGGGATATATGTAACCTTTGACCAGGGTGGTGCTTAGGGCAGGCCCTGATGACCCTCCAGGAGCTGACTGGAATTCTCTTCATGCACTCTGTGAAAGGAAAAAGGAAGTTGTATTAGGGGAAGGAAGTGACCTTATGGTAAACATTCCCGATTTGGCCGTCCATCACCATAATGTCCTGTAATTTATTCTAGGACAAAACTCTTTCAGTAGCATTTCTGGATCTCCTTTAACCCACTTTAGAGTGCTAACATTTTACATTTGCTTACTCATGTAATTAGTTTTCCTTCCTTCCCTCTGTTACCAGGGTTTGGAGATATTGGTGTCTTCTGGAGGTGTTTTCTAGGTTCTTTTTGTCCTGAGCAAAGAACAAGCACAAATGGTAACAAACTTTTATTGAAGATGGGAAAAGAAACAGGCTCTGCAGAGAGTTTGGACCAAGTAAAAGTAGAAAAGAAGCACACTCCACTGCATAAGGGTGTGTCATCATGGAGAGAACACAGTGGCAAAAACTCAGTGTTGATTGTGGTACTGGAGATTGACCCCAAAGTTTTCACAATGAGTTACATCCTCAGCGTTTTTTATTCTTTGAGACAAAGTCTCAGTGATAATCACCCACACTGGGCTTGAACTTGTGATTCGCCTATCTCAGCTTCCCAGAGTGCTGGGATTATAACACCTGTGTTAAATTTTACTTAGAGGCCAGTTCTGAGCATTGTTTCTTGACACAAGGATTTTCTCTTTTGTACCGGTATTAAAACCAAGACATTAACACTGATATAGTATTACTTAATCTACAGATATTCTGAATTAGTCAGTTGTTCTAAACATGGTTTATGTTTTTTTTTTTTTTTTTTTTGGTACTAGGGATTGAACTCAGGACCTCACACCTGCCAGGCAAGCACTTATGCCACGGGGCTAAATCCCTGGCCCCCAACGATGTTCTTTATAGCAAAAGACAAAAAAATTACTAGCCAGGAGTCAGTTATCTTATTTCTTGTCTTCAGTAATCTACATGAATTCTTTAGTCTGTCTTTTTAGGTTTTTTTTTTTTTTTTTTTGAGATAGAGTCTCTCTGTGTAGCCCAGACTGGCCTTGAACTTTGCAGTAATCCTCCTGCCTCAGCCTCCCAAATTCTGTGATTACATGTATGCACCACTATACCTAGCTAGTCTGTTTTCAGCCACCTTGACAATTTTGAAGGCGTGAGTCAGTTTTTTCCCCCATGTACTAGAGCTTGAACCTAGTGCTTAAATTGCCCCGGCTGGGCTCAAATGTGGGATCAGCCTGCCTCTGCCTCCTAGAGTGCTGGGGTGAAAGGCCTATGCCACCAGGTCCAGCATGTCAGTAACGTAAAATTTGGGTAAATGGGTACTGGTTATTGAATCCAGGGCCTTCCTACTGAGCTACATCTTTGAACTCTTTTTATTTTTTATTTTGAGACAAGGTCTTGCTTCAAGTCAGTGATTATGTAGACTGTCCTTCAGTATGGATTTGTTTGATGTACCTTCATGATTAAATTCAAGTTGTACAAATTTTGGGCATGATTTTTATTTTTTTCTTTTGGGGCATGATTAATAAAAGCTGCCCAGTGATTTTTCTAACACCTCATAATGAATCACATGGTAATCATTGCCATACTTCTGTGGGCATTTATTTATTTTTGCAGTATTGGAGATTGAACCCAGTGACTCTTGCAACCTGGGCAAGTGCTTTATCACTGAACTATTCCTCCAAACCTGGGCAAATTCATTTGCATCAGATAGTATGTATTCCAATTTTATGTATTCTGATTCTATTTGGTCCTCTGTAATAAGTATTTTTTGGCGAGCTACTTAAAAATTTTTTTTTTGTTTTTTTATCGGTACTGAGGATTGAACTCACAACCACAACCACGCGCTTGCAAGGCAGACACGCTTATGCCGCTGAGCTAAATCCCCAGCCCTAGCTACTTAAATTTGTGATGTTAAACACTTTGTTTCTGTTTATACTTCCACTCTCTACTTTGGCTGACACAGTGTATTCTCCAGTGCTAAGTAGTATCCCTTTGTTAGGATATTGCTTGTCATGTAATAAATGGCTGAGTCCTTCCCCATTAATTCATGTCAGCAGTTAGCAGAAGCATGTCGTTATTGTTTATATTTGTCTCACAAACGGTGAGCCTGTTGAGGGTAGGTGGTATCATGGTATGTTGTTTCTTTGTCCCGTGTCTAGCACATACTGGGTGCTTGAAAAATAGGGGTTTGAATTAGGAATCTGTGGAAGACAGGGCTACGAGTTGGCCTGGGGAGGGCATTTCCCCCATTTTAAAGGAAAGTGAGGGCGGGGATTGTGGAGGGCGCGGCCAGCGTGTAATCACTTTGCAAAGGGGCTCACGGGTCTCAGCCACTTCCTCAGTGGCGGGGCCTTGGGCTTCCTCCGGCTGGGGAAGCAAGTGGGGCGGGAAATCAAAAACCGAACTCGCAGCTCCCGGCATTCCCCGTGGGCGGCGCTCCCCTTTGACCTCTTGCTCGCGTGCTACACATCCGGGCTTCTGTTACTAGTGAGGGGAAGATGGCGGCCGCGACTGTGGTGGTTCCCGCAGAGTGGATAAAGAACTGGGAGAAATCAGGGAGAGGCGAATTGTGAGTGTTCCGGCCAAAGGCAGGCCCTCGGCCTGGCAGATCTAGTGTATCTGCAGTACTCGCAAATGGGATGGGAGGCGGTGGGGGGGGGAGGAGGAGATGTGCCCCCTCCCCCACCAGGGCGGCGGGCGTGGATGGTTGGCTGGGAGTTTCGAACTCAAGGAGGATCGGTCCAGGTAAACGGATCGTCGTCCTTTTCTTGTCGGACCTCCTTGAAATCCCGGTTGCCTACAGTAGCCCGACTTCCTTTAGTCTCTTAGTAGAACTCCCTTTTTGCCCCTGCGGATCTTCGTGCTTTCCTCGATCTCTTTTTGTCCCCCTCTTCTCTGGCGCTACTTGACTCCTTTCTCTTTATGGGTCTTCGCCGGAGCGATTTGGACTTTCCGTCGCTCTCTGTCCCATTTCTTTACTCTGCCACCCTTTGACTCTGCAGTTTGGAGCCTGGCACCTCCTTTGCCCAAAGTCCGAGGAGGGCGAACCGTCCCGTACTCTCTTCCCACTCTCGGGCTGCCGCCAGCGAGCCCCGGGCGTCGTGGAGATCCCCGCTTGGCACCTCGCGTCCTTCCGCGGAGCGGTGTCTCGGACTGTCCCGGCCTTGCGTAGCGCCGCGGGCCGTGGGGAAGTGTGGCAGGGATTGCCGCTTTCCCCGAAGATCTACCGGCTTTTTTTTTTTTTTTTGGTTTTGTTTTGTTTTTTGCTTTTGCTCCGTCTTTTCACCTTAGAGCTATTTCAGGTTGGAGTCAACTTTTCGTCACTAAATGTTTCCTAAGCCCCATTTTGTCGTGGAACTGTAACTAGTTTGGCAACTCTCCAAGCTTCTTGAGAACCTAGGGTAACACGTTTCCATTAGTCATAAAACTTACTCCCCCCTCCTCGTGTAACAAGAGGCAGTAATTTGCGATACCCGCGGTTTCCTCACCCCGAATTTTCAGAGCTCCATCCCCCCTTTCCGGAAAAAAAAAATCGCTTAAGCAACAAAACCACTGATTTAAAAACAATTTAGTTGTTATTTCCTTCTCGGAATAGCTTTGGGAGCTGAAGCTGAATCCTGTATGAGATTTACTCTTGTTAAAGTCATTCTGGACTTCTGTTTCCCCATTTCATCCTTTCAGTAGCCAGTTTACATTTGGGGATTTACAGTTGCCAATGCGAGAGATACTATGAATCTTTCACTTTGCTGCTTGGAAAGAAGTGAACGGAGCGCTTTGCGTGATCTTGCTCTTGTGTTGCCAGGCAAAATGGTTTTTAAACGCCCCCCCCCCAACACTGTAACAGTGAGCTCTAGAATTGTATTGCGCGGATTGCGCGAATAAGCGGCTGTCTTAACTACACTTAACTAGTTTAGTGACCTTGGGTAAGTTACTTTGTTTCCCCTAGAGTAAACTGGAAATAATAAGTACTCTGCTCAAAGGATTGTTGTGAAGACTAATGCCTGTAAAGCACTTGGCTTATAGTAAGTGCTCAAGTGATCGCTATTAAAAGTAATATTACTACAGCCTTTAGAATATTTAAACGTCTGAGGACAGCTCTTGCACTGAAAGACTACTACCGAGGTTAGCAATTAATTGGTCTGTGACTCTTGTATATTGACTCTTGTCCACTAATGAATTGAGAGGCCCTTGAATAGGAACTGTCTCATTTCTTTTGTTCTGACATCTCACTTCCTACCAGCATATACTTATGAGTCCTTATTGTATTTTATTAACCAACAGGTTTGATACACTTTCATTTTTTTTTAACTGTTGAAAACATTTTTTGAGTCCTTGTATGTGCCAATTAATGAATAGCTGCCAGGTCTGTCCTGTGCTGGAAGGCTGGATAGGAAATAAACCAATCAAGTTCATTATTTTAGGGTAATAACCCAAAAACCTGATAAACCAGTTTATTGTTTTGTTTACTTTTAAAGTCAGTCAAATCGTTTATTTAGGTGCTGCCATCTCCTCTGTAGGTTGCTCAGCTTCCTTTCAGCTGCATTTTTTTTTTTTTTTGAGGTACTGGGGAAGTGCTGTTACACCTTCAGCTCCAAGCTGCTGTTTTTGACAGTTACTGCTTTCACCTTAGAATGACAGCTATTTAGGATAGTAGATGAAATTCTACTTGGCTTCAGGTGGCACTTGCTGGAGAAAAGCTAAGTGATTTAGGTGGTCAAAATAGCTAGTTAAAATAGTTTACTTTATGGCAGTTTACTTGATTTGTGCTGTGTCTTCTTAGTTCCTGTGTTAGAAGAGCTACTTAAAGACTGTTACTAGGAATTAGAGATATATGAAGTTATTGCATGGCTTGTGGAATGTGGTTTGAGTTAGTGTAGTTCCAAATTAGTATAGTCAGTTTTATAATTATATTGTTATATAAAGTGATTTAAAATTATATAACAGAAATGCAATATTTTTAAAATGGTCAAACACATCACCATCCAGTACTTAACTTTTATTCATTTGACCTCGTTTCTTTTAATGAAAACTTTATTGCATATAACCTAATCTGGAGTTTTTGCCCATTGCTGAAGATAGATATTAACATTTTCATTTTGTGAGAACAAATGGTTTTGTTAATATATTACAAAATAGTCATTTTCGTTTTTTTTTTTTTTTGTCTTTTTCCTTTTTATCGGTACCAGGGATCAAACTCAGGACTGCCTGCTTGCAAGGCAGGCGTTTATGCCCCTGAGCTAAATCCCCAACCCCAAAATAGTCATTTTCTTTGTCTGAAAACAGAGCCTCTGTAATATAAAAGAGCAACAGGAAATAATTAAAAACAAAGGTAGTGTGCCACCAAATTATTAATGAATTCATTTGGAGATTTGACTTTTCTAATATGACCTGTATTTACAATTGTATCTTACATGGATTTTTTTTTCCTTTTAAAGAGAAATTAGCAGCTGAGTTTTATTGACAGAAAATCATCTTTTGAAAAATGTAAGATATATTCATGAGCTTGTGAGTTTATTTCTTGTCTGTCACTTCTTACCAGCAGCGTAAGTCTATTCTGGGAGTTGTAATTAGCTTCATGTGTCATCATGTTAAAAGCAACATGAGATGTATGGAGAATTTATAACTTTTCAAAAAAAGTAAATTCTTAACTGCCCTTTGAAAAGCAACTTCTAGGTAGAATGTCTTGGTTTTGAAGAGGAGGTTTTTTTAGGTATTTAAAAAAAAAAAAAGTAAAATTGTCCATCCACGACATACCTAGGTAGGCTATACTTTCAGAGATACTGATTATATTGTTAAGGTTTACTATTCCTAAAATGATCTTTTGTCAGAAGGGCCAAAGAGAACTACCAAAATATAAATAAAGTATTCTTTTCAGTAATTAGAAGTTATAATTTGAATGAAAACTGATATTTTTATACATATATGAGATATGGATTTAGTCACCTTAATTTTGGAATTTGAGTGTTAGTTTCTTAATTGTTTCATGTTAACCATAAGACTTGCCCATGATTTATGTAATATCCTTGCATGTACTGTTAAAGCCAGTGGACAATTTTTAGTAGAAACATAAACACAGTAAGCTTTGTAATTCTGTGTCACAAACAACCTTAATGGATGATTTATAGTCTAAATTCTTAATCTGAAGATAATAGCTTTATGCCAATACTTGGTCTAATTTTGAAATACTTTGTTGAAGTACTTTTCCTGTAAAAATTTTTCGTTAAAAAATTTACTCTCTCTTCCTCACGTGCTGTTTTAAGAAATAAGAAATTTTGTTAGGTCTTGTCTTACTGATTTTTGGTAGCTAATAAAATGTTTCAGAATTTAATTGCCAAATGTTTTGGATGCCATTCTTTTTCTTCTGCTACTAAATAATTCCAGAACTTATCTAAGTACATTTGAGTCTTTTTAAATTTTTATTTATTTATTGGTACCTGTGATTGAACTCATGACCTCACGCTTGCCAGGCAGGCACTTGGGCCACTGAGCTAAATCCCCAGCACTACATTTGGGTCTTTAATAAATGTCTGATCTGAATTTCTTGGAAAGAAGTAGGAGGGGAGATAAATACAGTCATTCTAAGAAATTTTAGTCTTGGTAGTTGAGTTCCCCCACCAATTTCTCTTAAGTTCAGCTGAAAATTATGTAGGCTACTGCTTTCTTTGTTTAAAAAGATTTCATAATGCTTAAATGTTAGAGTAAGTGCTATTCACATACTTGTGTTTTTCACACTGAGTTTTGGGATTGCAGGCATCATACTCTGCCTTTAAATGTTATTAAGGGACTAAAATAATAAATTGAATTTGCACCAAGACAGAAAATTTTGTTATTTTTTAAAGACATACTAAAATGGACAACTATTGGAAATTGTTTTGTTTGCCCTTCACCCCAATAATTTAGGTTACTAAAACTGACAAATGTGTACTAAGACAAATGCAGCATTCAAAAACAATTATTTCATCAAAGATACTTGCTGCTGTTAATGGATTGCTTATGAAGAAGAGCACAGATTAATGTACGTGACTCATTGGGGAAATTATTTCCTCCTATAACCAAGGAATAAATCTTTTATAGTTGAAAAATGTAAGTATCTCTTATGGAAGTGAATTGCCTAAATGTAGTAACCCATTAATGATTTTTTTTTGTATCAGAAATAGAACCCAGGACCTTGCACTTGCGAGGCAGGAGTTGTGCCACTGAGCTGTATCCCCAGTTCCCATTAATGATTCCATGCACAATTTAAACAAATCTTTGAGGTATTAATAGCCCATGAATATATTATCATTTGCAATCTGAAGAATGTTTGTGTCCTAGTGACTGATAGTATAGAATCATATTTCAGTTATTTTAAATTTATATAATAGTGATTCTAACATTAGGTAGGAGTTTGGAATGCTGATACAGCCCCTGTCTCCCAACCATTGGAAAGTTTTTTAAACAAGATGTGTATTTATTACTAAAATAAATAGAACATGAAACTATTGAAAATGTGAAGCAGCAAATGCATTTGCCATAAAAAGGAGTTCTTTTAAAAATTAAAGTTTCTCTAAGAAGGAATATTTGACCTTG